CTGGATTTCTATTCTGCAGTTGAAGGCGTTTCGCCTCCTATCCTATGTATTGAGGAGCTTTATCAATTCTAAACTGGAGTGTGGAGTTTTATGTTTTTAAACTGCATGTGAAACGCCGTTGTAAACCTAAATTCACACGCAGATGAAATTACACGCCTCTCACAATGAAGAGTTCGGGTCACGAGAGAGATATCTGGTCATATGCATCAAGGTGTGAATTGGATGGGATGGTAAACACAACATCTACAACTGAAAAATACGTAGAAGTCCTGTTGTTTTGTTAATTTCTTAAAACTTTTTTGGATTTATCATGCCATGCATGACTGAGAATCCACACCAGGATGACAAAAGGATATTTTAACTTCCTTCAAAGCAAACAAAGCAAAGTCACCCATCGCTGCTTTCCACTTTACCACTGCCAACCTTTTTATCTTAAAAAATAAATAAATAAATAAAAATAGCGTGGAATCGTCCTCTGTTTTCTACATCATCTTTGTGGTCTGACAGAGTTTCTACTTTTATTTTCCAGACTAATATTTTAGCAGTTTAGCGCTCGCTAGCAGATTCCAGCAGTCAGTTTTTTCAATTGCTAGTTCTTTTTTGTTTATTGGTATGTGAGAGGACCATTTTCTCCTGAGTGCTTATTGTTTATAATTGTCATCAACTTGTTGATTATTAGTTCAAGTGCTTCAAACAAGTTTGGGCTCCGGTTTTGTGTCGTCATTCTCTTTTTCACTCGTGTTGGGCTAATGATGTATCACCATCAGTGCTGATGGCATGTTACTGCCGCGGTTTACTTACATCCTGCATAGTATGGCACTGCTTGCTGCGGTTTTGCCCAAAATTATTCAAAAGATAAACGACTGTCCCACATAAGAATAAACAGTTTGTTAATTAATTAATTAATTAACAAATAAATAAAAAGAGTTATCTTGAGTTAATGTGGCACAGTTGGTAGAGCTGTCACCTCTCAGCGAGAAGGTTGCTGGACCGAATCCCGGCCTGAGGTCTTTCTGTGTGAAGTTTGCATATTCTCTCTGTGCTGAAACAAAAGTGTACATTGTGTGTGTGTGTGTGTGTGTGTGTGTGTTTTTCACACGTTTATGAATTAAGATGAGGCAGGAAAACCCTTTAGACTAAAAGTGTGTTGCAATCTTAGTTTTGTCGAGGTTTATTTTCCCCCCAATAACTTATTTCACTTTAGTGTAAATCTTTTAAGTATATGGTATACTTTAATTAGATTTTATTTCTTTGTGTGTGCGCGTGTGTGTGTGAAACAAGTGGCCAGTTCCAGTAAGCTGCTTCTTTTGATTAGAAATCTATCTTGAGAAGATGAATTGGTGGAGTGAGTGAAAGGGTCTAGGACAAGGAGGGAAAGATTTGTATGGGAGGGGGTGAATTTGAGGTGTTACCCTCTCGTCTCTAAGGCCGACCTGTCATGTACAGCATCAGTCATGCTCTTTCACAGCAGTTTTTTTTTCCCCACCACTCCCTCTAGTGCTTTAATAGCAGACGTCGGAGATGGTGCCTTATGGGAAGATCGTCTGTTTGGGAAGCGCATGTGTGTGCACTGTTACACATTGTCAAGTGCCTTTAAACTGTGGCAAAGAGAAGTTCAAACCAACTAGCAGAATTACTGCAAGTGAGAAGTCTGGATGGCTCTTTTAAGATTCTACCTTTGAATCCTCATCTGACCCCTCCACTGAACATCACTTTGCTCTTTTTGAGAAAATCACACATCTTATCTTTTCATGTGTAACCAGTTTTGTTTCAGTGCAAATATATAAAAAAATATATATATATATTTTGTTGTGTGTATCAAAAAATGTATACTTAAAAGTTCAAGGGGGCTGTTGTATCTTAGTGGTATGTGTCACGGTCTTGTAATCATGAGGGTTCAGGTTCAAGCCCACGTTAGGTTAGGAAGGGCTTCTGGTGTAAAACAGCCAAATCTTATATGAGTTTCCTCCATGTAGTAACTCTTGTTGAAGAGAGAATCTGAAAGGGAAAACACCACTTTCTCAACGGTGCACTACACTGGAGGTAAAGAGTAAATAGTCATTTCTCTTTGTTCTGTTTTTATACTTACTTTCTGCAGTCCAGCCATCAAACTGACATTCATCACAGGTCTTCATGAAAAGGTTTTAACTTCCTTACAAACGATTAAAGAAGGGTTAGAGTTTTTGTGCTGCATCAGACTAAAGCAGGTCTTGCTTCCCCTCCAGTGTTTTCTCTAATTGACTGCTTTTTTCACTCTTATGACAGTTTCCTGCTTTCCAACGCTGCATATCAGATGTCAGTTTCTGGAGGCTGATGATACAGTTATATTTGTCCATGAAACTCAATTTAAAACAGACAATATTGAGCCAGCATTTTTCAGTCGGGTCATCTGGACAGTTTCTTTTTTTTTGTGCTGAAACATTTCGCCTTCGGTTTGGAAGGCTTCATCAGTCAA